TTTCGTTTTTTGGGTTTTTCTGTTTTGTTTTGGTTGTGAGACAGGGTTTCAAAAACAGAGTTCAGGCTGCCCTGGAACTGACTCTGTAGACCAGGCTGGCCTCACCCTCACAGAGATCGGCCTCTCTCTGCTGCCCAAGTGCTGGGATTGAAGGTGTGTGCCGCCACAGTAGGACTAGGCAGATTTTTTATTTCTTGTTTTGAAGAAGGTCTCGTTTTGTCACCTGGCTGGCCTAGAACTCCCTTCCCCCAGATCAGCCTGTCTCCGTCTCCTGATTGTTAGGTCAGGAGTAGTTTTTTCCGTGAGGGTTTGAATAGGAATTGAGAAAGGAGCATCCGGGCAGCGGCCACCTCACGGCCAGCTGTGACGCCGGGCTGATCCCAGGCCTCACTGAGACTCGTTTGCCCCCGCTGCACCCTCAGGTGGGATTCATCGACTACATTGCCCACCCGCTGTGGGAGACGTGGGCTGACCTGGTGCACCCCGATGCCCAGGAGCTGCTGGACACCTTGGAAGACAACAGGGAGTGGTATCAGAGGAGGGTTCCCCGCAGCCCGGCGCACACCGTGGGCCCAGACAGCTTCCAATTTGAGCTGACCCTGGAGGAGGAGGAGGAGCAGGAGGAGCAGGAGGAGAAGGAGCACTTAGCACCCAACAGGGAGTCCTCAGAGTCAACCAGCACTTAACCCCTGTCCTCCAAGGCTAGCCCAGAGCCCAGGGTGAGCCCTGTCCTGGCATGGACTGTTAGGTCAGAGCCAGGCCCTCTGGGCACCTGTGAGCGTTGGGGACTTCTCTTTCCACCAAAGTGGACAGCTGAGATAAGGCTTGAGGTCCACTCTGACCACAGGCTTGGTTGGAATGGCGCGGTGGGGGGAGGGGCGAGGTGGCTGGATTGGCACCTCCTGCTGCCTGCCTGTCCTCCTGAGGATGGACTCACCTTCAGCCTGCGAGCAGCTATGGCACCGGGCTCTTTCTGTGTTTGTTTGGTTGGTTTCTTTTTGGTGCTGAAGATGAAAGCCCGGATTCCCACAGCACCTACCACACTCTTATCCTGCCTGTCCTGAGGCCCAGAGGGAGCCCCTTTTGTGGAGTGCAGACGGATCACCTGCTGAAGTTTGGTGTCTCGTGACCTCAGATTCTTCTGCAGAGACGCCAGTGACCTCCTAGAAGACCCCTGTAGGCCTCAGTATCCCCACGGGCTGCCCACATGCTTTACCAAACATTGCTGGTGGGGGACCAATGTGGTTACCCAGAGATAGTGCCAGATGGCTGTGCAGTAAAACCCTGACAAGATACGGCTCAAACCAGTGTGCTAGTCGGCTGAGGTGCACTCCCCAGGGGTCCCCAAACCAGTGTGCTAGT